CCGTACGCCCTGCGCCGCGCTGCACGTCCCGCACGTCCGCCGTCGGCCTCGCGGCTAAACGCCTCCACGGCCGCCAGCAGTTCCTCCAGTCCCTTCGCCACGCCCGCTGCCGCAGCGGCGTCATCATCACCACCATCGTCACCGTTACCGTCCGCCTCCTCATCCTCCAGCTGCTGCTGCTGCTGCTGCTGCTCCGCGTCGTCGCTGTCGTAAGCGGAGGAAATGTCGAGGGAGTCCTCGTCGTCGCCCGCAGCAGCAGCAGCGGCATTGTCGTCCTCATGCATTTGGTAGGCGCGGTCGCCGCCGCGGCTGACCCACTCTGCCCGTGTCAACTGCTCTTCTTCGTGGGCGAAGGATGGGACAGCGCCGCGGTCAGCCTCGAGCAGCGCCTGCTGTGCCTGCAGTTCCTCCTCCTCAGCCTCCGTCAGTGTCCGCTCGCCGGCGACCGCACGGCGCGTCTCGCGGCGCATCGACTGCATCATACGGTCAAACTCGTCATCGTGGCTAGCCATGTGGCTCTTGCTGTTGCTGCCGCTGCTCCCGTCGCCCTTGGCTGCCCCTTCATTCAGGAGAGCATGTGGTGGCGCTGGTACCTTCTCCCTTTCATATTCACTCGCGCCCTCACGTATCTTCCGCAGCAGCGCCATGTCCGCCTCGTCCAGGCATGACGCGCCGCCATTTCCCGTTGCTGCTGCTGGTGTTGGTGTGGCAGTGTCAACGAGTGGAGCAATGGTGAAACTGCCGTCGCCCCGCAGCGAAACCACCTTCGCCACATGGTTCGCGCGGTACGACTGCAGAAGCTCACGCATCTTTGGTGTGCCAGCGCGCGCAAACGCATCCTGTTCCTCACGTATCTTGTCGCGCCGCTCCAGCAGGTGCATCACGTCGTTAAAGGCCGCGTCGATTGCGGTGGTCTGCTGCGCGCGTTCTGCGCGGTCGCGCTGCGCCTGTGCGCGGTGCTCCTTGCTGCTGGCCAGCACCGCCTGGAAGCGTTCCTCGCGTGTCTTCTTCCGCTGCGGCGCCCCCTCCTCACCATCGCTGCCGTTGTCGTCGTTCTCTCGGGTGCGTCGGGTGGCACCGAGGAGCCCCGCGCCCAGCAGCGGCTGTGTTGCTGCTTCTGCTGCTGTTCTGCGCTGCTGCTCCTCCGTGTCGTCGGAGAGGCGGAACCTCGCCGCACGGCGGGTGCTGCGTGAGTCTGCCGCGTGCATTCCGCCACGCCGCGCAGGCGTGAGGCCGAAAGTCGCCGTCCTCGTCGTCAGTGCCGTTACTGCAGTTGACGACGCGGACTTGGGCCGATCGAAGCGGCTGAATGTTGCCGCATCGTCGGCAGGCGGCGGCGGCGCTGACGTGGGCGTGTCGGACTCCAGTGTGTCGCGCAGCCGCAGTTCCTCCTGGCGAAGTTGGAAGCGGCTCTGCTTCGCGCCGAAGCGGGTGGCGGACGCCTTGGCGTCGTGCGCGGCCTCACGGCGTTTGTGCTTCTGCACGATCTTTGCGTTCGACGCCGTGCGCCGCATATGTCTGGTGCTCAACGGGAGAGAGAAAAGTGCGAAGTGTCGCCGCAACACACACGCAGGCCGACTTGCTGGTGCTGCTGCTGCTGCTGCTGTTGCTTCTGCTGTTGCTTCCTCCTGCAACTCTACGTGTGTGTGTATGTGAGAGAGAGAGGAGGGGGTGGTGGGAAGGGCGAGAGGAGAAAAAAAACAGCCATCCATACCGAGGGCAATCAAACACAAGGACGATGGAAATAAAGCGAAGTCTGTGCGACGGAGAGTTGGCCTGCATGTGTGTGAGGCGTCATGCGGCTTTAAACACATCCCGTGTGTTATGCGCGCATACATATATATATATATATATATATGAATGAGCGTGTGTNTTACCGCCACCCCCTCGCCAGCCACTGCAACTACGCCATCAACGACAATCATGACACATGCACACATACGTAGAGGGAAAGATGTGTGGAGAGAGGGGAAGAGAAAACCCAAAAAAATACTGAGCACTCCCAGCTGTGCAGGACCCTTTTTCTGCAGTCGGCCTCTCCTCTCTATCTCTCTCTCTCTCTCGGCAGACAGCGCGAGATGCTGCTGCCGCATGAGCCTGCTTTGCGCAGCTCATCCCTCCTCCTCCTCCTCCTCTCTTCTTCACCTCGCTCTCTCTCTCATAATCATGCTTTTGCTTCTCTCACGCACAGACACTCTCCTTCTCCACCCCTCGCCCTATTATTTTCCTCCCATTCTCCCTTCTCACCTCCTTCTTCCGCCTATTCATGGCGGCTTTCAGACTCGCTATACGCTGCCGCCACGCCCTCCGCACACCTCTTAAGCAACGCGACCACAGGGCCGCATTGTAGTGCCTCGGCAGCTGCGGGCAACGCGGCGTTGGAAAACAGCTTCCCTTCCGCTACCGCTGCTGCTGGCGTTGTGGGTATTGCCGCTGCCGTTGTTGCACGGCTCTGTGCCACGGCGTTGCATTTATCATAGCACTGCGCCACCGCGATGACGGCGTCCTCGCAGCGAAGCTCTTGTGAGGGGACAAGGTAGTTGTAGCGCGTCTCCTCAATGCGGTCGAGTACGCGGTGCACCTCCTCCTCGTCCTTGAACAGCTTTGTCCGCTCCTCCCGCACGGCCGGCTCCAGGACGGAGTCGTCCCGCAGCGGTTGCATATTCACCACTGGCAGTGGACGCACCTTCTTCTTTTTGACTTTCTCGCTAGCAGCAGCGGCAGCAGACGTGGCAGCATCCGCCGCTTCAATAACAGAGGCAGCCGTTGTTGTTGTTATTGTTGTTCTTGTTGCCGCTCTTGCTGCCGCGGCTGTTTTGGTTTTGATTGGTGTTTCTGATGAACTCCACCGCAGTGGGGACGGCCGTGGGCCGCTGAGGAACCACGACAGTGGGTTGTACCATTTGAATGGCCGCCGCGGATCCTCATCGTCCTCGGGGCGGTGAATGAGGAGGAGGTCGCGCGGGGGAACCGATAGCCCTCGTGCCCCAAAGACGCTATTCTCCGTTGCTGCTCCCAGCCGCACAAGCAGGAGACCAAGCTTGATCTGCCGCTCACGCTCCTCCCGTGTCACAACCTTGCCGCCACTTCCACCACCGCCAGAATTAGAAGCAGCAGATGCGGATGCAGCATTAGCGGCATTGGTGCCATCTGGCGCTGTTGATGCCACTGCTGCTTCTGCTGGCAGTGTATCGATCTCCAGCCGCCCCACAGGCGGAGTGGCGAGATATGGCCGCGATGATGCGGTTTCCACTGGCATTAACAACGACAACGAGGACACAGACAATGAGGTCTCGCTACTACAACTATCCTATAGTCTATGTATATATATATATATATATATATATATANATATATATATAATTATCTATCCGAGCCACGGACAATACGTACTATCGATCAAGGGGAGGTGAGCAGGCAGAACCAAAAAAGGGGATCAGAGAAGGAGCACCAAGAGAACATAGTTCAGAGGTGGAAAAGTGGTGCTGGGCAGACCTCATCACTCATGGTGGCACGGTGACGCGCACGCAGTCCTTCGCGTGCCGCCATCCTCCCCCATTCTGACACTGATTGAGCAGCACAGCAAAAACGAAAAAAAGGCTCAGAGGGGAAGGGGGAGAAAATTACGCGAATAAGCACACACTGCACCAGCAGAAACAGACAGTGAGGATAGAGGAACACGCGCCCTCCACTCACTACACAAAAACGGTAGGGCACACAGCACACACATACACACATTCACATTCACAGGCACAGGCACTGTCATGGGCACCCAGTCGTCCATGCTCACACATCATCCTCGTCNCGTACTGTGTCGTCTTTCCCCATCTTGGCGGATGTGTTGTGCATCTTTCGTGCTTCTTCATACTGCCAAATTCCACCCATCACAAGAACAACGCCGATAAAATGCGATACGCTAAAGGGCTTCGGGTACACAACGTAGCTACAGAGCACCGTCATCATCTTGCGCACGCTCGTCACCACAGTGGCCGTGCTGCTGTTGAACTCGGAGATAATGCGCAGGAGGAAGAAAGTGCCACCGTAGTTGCACAAGGAACACACGAACATCAGGAAAATGAACTCGAAGTGCGTGCTAGCAAAATGCATGGAATCTGCAATGCTACCGCTCAGCAGCAGCGACACAAGCCCATTCATCGATGACAAGAGAAATACGTAGAACTGCACCTCGTCGTGCGACGCTCCGTGCGCCATGAAGCAGTACTTTTCCTCCCCAAGGTACATTAAGGCATCGCAGAGCAGCGCCACAACGATGCCCGCAACGCCCGTGATTACTGGCCACCAACTCTCCTCCACCTCTGTGTCCTTTGCGTGGGGCGTGCTAGTTGTCGCGTACGTAAACACGATGAGACCCACCACAACGGCGATGCACGACGCCACCTCCCGCACCAGCTTGGAGTGTTCCGTCACAGCACCGTGTGAAAGGCTCCTGCTGCTGTTGTTGTTGTTGCAGTTTCCACTGGCAACCGCGCAGGCACCCTTAGACTGTGGGGAGAAGTATGCCCCACCCTTGGTCGACATAACCACTGGGTTCGACGGCCCACAGACATGCACAGCAACGGAACCGCTCGGCTTCTCAATGGGTTCGCCTGTGGCGAGAGCCATGCATCGGTGGAGCTCGGCTGCATCACTGTCCTGGCTCTTGTCAGTATATGGGCCGTCCCTATTATTGTGATTTTCTACAGACGACGACGCCGCCGCCGCCTCCATGGCCTCGAGGCGTGCGGGGAGCTCAATCGCGACGTAGCGTACGAGCCACACAAACAGAAGCTTGCTAGACTTGAAAACCACCTGCGTGCTGTAGCTGAGGAGGCGCGATGCCTCGTTGGTGAGGTACACACTTAAGGTGTTTGTCAGAGAGATCATAAAGTACGTGCGGAGCGGCACACGGCGTGCCTCGACGAGTCGCCGCCACGGCGAGGCGGATGCACCAGGTGACGAACGGTACAGCTGCCCACTGGCGAACAACGACACACAGAGCGCCTGTGCGAATGTGAGAAGTCCAGTGTGGTGGAAGCCAGGGATGTAGAACACCGCCTCCTGCACGATCGAGTTCATAACATGGAACAGCAGCACGCACACGCTGAACGCCAGCAGCCGCTCCGACGATCCGCGTCGGGCAACGGATGCCCACATGTTTTGCTGTCCCTTAGTGTGTGTGTGTGTGTGCGTGTATAGATGTATGTATGATTGTCCTATCCCCACACACACACACACACACTTCCCCTTGTTGCTGTTGCTGTTGTTGTTGTTGTTGTTGTTTTTGTTTTTGTTTTTGTTTTACAACGACACAACAGAAGCAGAAGTCATACACAGTAGAAGTATCATATATATATATATATA